GAATATAAAAAATACAGTAAGCTTTTTTTTAATCAATGTAAATAAAAATAATATTAATACACCACAAACTAAAAACTATAATTATAATAATTATTAATTAATTAATGATAAATAATTAAAAATATAAAACAATACATATATTATTGCAATTATATATAATTATTATAATTAATTTATTAATGTAATTATATTACCATAATTATATATTTAATATTTAATGTTGTTTTGTGATGATGCATCTACAATTAGTTTGGGTGCACAAGGCTCTATATATTTTATTTTATTTATTATATATTTAAAAAATAATATTTAAAAATGTTTTAAACATTTATATAGTAAATATAATCTTATATAATATATTAATTATTATTACATATATTTAATATATTAAATTAAACCACATGTTGGTTATTAAAATATTTTTGTGATAATGCACCTACAATTGATTTGAGTGTGCAAGGCACTATATAAATATATATTAAAATATTACTAAAAATATTTAAATATTAATTACTTAGTATACATAATCTTTCATATTTTATTACTGATTATTAAATATATTTAACAAATCGAATTAAACCACATACACAGACAAACATAATGTGTGTGTGTGTGTGTCTGTAGAGTTTGTACTCTTCTACTCATCTAGTGTTTACATCAAGGCAAAAGTTAGTTTTCCACATCCTCTGACTCAATGAGCCTTGAAAGACAGAGGAAAAAAAGAAACATATACATCAGGTTGATTTCGTTTGCACAGGTGTCGTTGAGTTTTGTTTGGTGTACAAGCGAAACAGGTGTGCTCACAATGGGAATGTGGCCATATATTGGCCGTTTGACAAAAGGAGAGCTCACAAATGGCGTTAAAGCAACAAAAAAACGTTTATCTTAGCGAAGAAATCCCATGTAAACCATAAGCCATTGACTTTCAGCTGCAGTTTGTGTCCAAATAAGAAAGTGTGTAATAAAACACAGGGGCGTAATGGTAACCATTCCAATAATGCCAAAATGACTTCATTTCATTCGGCCGCAGTAATTGCTGGGAGAAAAGTAAATCAAGTCAGTCGGTTTGGAGTCCACGCGTACTCACTCTAACATCCAATTATTTCAGCTCTCGGAAGAGCACTCCAGTTTCCATTCCACTAATTGCCAGGCGTGTGTCGTCCTGCGCAGCATTGCATTCTGGGAGCTGTTAGGAGACAGGTGAAAGGCCCTCTGAGGGATTCCATGAACCGCACAGCGCAGCAAATCACAGAAGCTTCCAGAAAGCAGAGGGGTCAAAGACAGCTGACCTGAACAAACAGCATGATGATGATGATGATGATGAGCGCTGACTGAGAAAACGCTTTGAATGCTGGGGAAGCGACTGAAACTGCTATAAATGTACTCATTATGAGTTATAAGAATGATAATGATACCGATTAAATAATCAACTTTACTGCATTTATGCTAAGGTGGCAGATTGAGGTTTTATTTGCTATCGTCATATCTCCAATTTATTAAAACTACTTAGTATGGAAACAATGAGGATTTAACATGATATACAGTTGCTTTAAAGGGGTCCTATTATGCTTTTTCACTTTTTAAATTTTAGTCAGTGTGTAGTGTGTATGTTTGGGCATAAAAAAGATCTAGAAAGTTACAAATCTCAAAGTCCACTCCAAAGGGAGATATTTCGTTTTTTTTTT